TGACCTCAGCACAACTTACAGCCGGGAGCCGCGTGGCGCTTCGAGCCTGCTCAGGAAGAGGAGGAAGAACGGGGCTACAATAAGAACGGGTGGGCGACAAATGCTGGCAGCGAGCAGGGGCAGCCCAGCACTCGTGGGGCCACCCAGCACCCTCCCTCCTGGCCACCCTTATGGGGCCGAGGTCACCTATCCCCTCTGCAACCGCTGCGGGTGTTTGTCACAGGCTGCAGCAAGCCCGAGAGGAGAGCTCGGTGCCCGCCCGCCTTTGGGAGACCACCAGCACCACCTCGTGATGGAGGGGACCCTGGTGCCTGCCAGCCTGGCTCTGCTTTCCACCAGGAGCCCCCCTTTCTGTGGCCACTGCCGGAAAAGAGAAGTGGGGACGCCCAGCACAGGCACTGGCCACCAGCAGCGTCTGGCAGGTTGAGCCCCTGGACCGAGGTTCTGGGAGGACTCAGCTTCGTCTCAACCCAGAGCAGCTGGGGTGATTTTTTCCCACTGAATCCTGTGACCCATCCCAGCCTCGAAGCGTGAAGTCTGTCCCAAAACACGCAAACGGCGGCCAAGCTTTTTCCTTAGCGCTGCCTTTATTTTTACAGGTTAACACTAGGCATGGAGGACATCCAAACACTACGACAAAAGGCCAGTTTGCCCGAGCCCGCGCACCAGAACTGATTCACGTCGCTACACAGACGGAAAACGAAAGGGAAATAAGACAAGGAACACACAGAGCTTCAGTCTCCTGGGAGGGAGGGACAGGACTGGCTCGGCGGATGCATCTGCCACGTGGGAGAACGAAGCCTTAAAGGCTTCCTGGAGCCAAGAGAGACAGAGGAACCTGTGACGTGGGGCTGAATCCCTCTGCAGGCATCTTGGAGCGAACAGGCTGGGAAGGAGGCTGTATGTGAGGCCTACCCAGGTGGCAAGATTGCAGGTTGAGGGCCTGTGCTTCACCACTAGGAACAGCTCGTGTGTCTGGGGACTTTCTCAGCTGAGGGGGAGCCCCAGGGGCCAGTTGCAGGTAACCCGTTAGCTGCCAAGCGTCTACACCGTGAGGAAAGCCCTGTCTCTGCCACTCAGCGGGCACGGGGGTCAGGCGAGCACCACACACACAACGCTCCCCCCGCGCAAACCCTCCCTCGTCCTCTTTCACGAGCTCCTCTTCAGCCTCAGGGCATTGTCCAGGGCGACCAGCTGGCGCAAGAACCCCCGGTTGGGGATGATGCCGCGGTGGTCCTTGACTGTCTTTATGGCTTCTACAAGGGGCATGTGGTGGCGGATCATGAGGTAGGCGAGGACCAAGGTGGCCGACCTGCTCACCCCGACAGCACAGTGCACAAGGATCCTTCCTGGGGGTGAGACACGGGAGCTGCGTCACGGCAAGCCAAACATCCCAGTTAAAAACCTACTGAGACCCAACAGCCTGCACAGGAGCAGCCACAGCTCAGGACACAGGCTGGGGCTGCGACCTCATCTAGTCTGTTCCCTCTCTAGGGGACGCGATCCAATGCAGGACACACCAGGCTAGGAATACCTTTGTTTCCTAGGATGCTTAGCAAGAAGGTGTCAATCTAGCCAGGGCAGTTTCTTCCCATCCCTGCTCCCCGCTTCTCTCCCAGAAACCTTTACCACCGACCTTCGTTCAGCGCTTGGTGGATGAAGTCGGCTGCAGGATAGAAGTAGGGGCTCATGTCAAAGGAAGGCGAGTCGTGGGCCTCGATGCCCAGGTAGCGGATGCCCGTGCCCTCGTAGTACTCCGCACCCCCCCTCCACTTGCTGTGCGAGGCGTTGAGGATGTGGGTGATGCGTAGGTGCGCCAGCTCACGCCGGTTGGCCGCTATATCTCTGCAGAGAATAAGAAACAGCGCAGGGACGCCTAAGTTTAGACGAGTCAAAAGTCAGTGAAGGGGCTGTCCTGGTCAAACACTTATGTCTGGGAAAGGTGGCTGCAAAGGAAAAAGACCAGACTCTTAAGATTCTTGAATTTTAGGTCAGTCTCACAGTCCCTGATTCCATGGACACTCCACCTCTGCCAGCCCCATCACAGCAGTGCTCTGAACTCTCTGCACAGCTGCACTCCTGCCCATCTTCCTTTGCCCCATCGCGTCCTCCTCCATCGCGCATTCCCCAACCTCCCCGTCCCAGATTCCCGTGTTTCACAAAACCAGCCCTAAACCACCCCTGGTCCTTGTCCCCTTCCCGATACGTACTGATCACCCAGGTAGAGTCCTGGCCAGACCTCATCAGCATGGTTACAGGCTGTCTTCCCTGTGTACAGCAACCTTTCCAGCTCAAAGACGCTGAGGATGGGGTGGCTGCTGCGCTCCTCCCGCGGGCCTCGGCTTGGTGACCTGGTGCCATTCCTGGAGAACCTCGACAGGAACGCCATTGGAGCTGCTGAGACCCACAAGGCATACCTGTGGGTTCGTGAAGGCCGGAGAGCGGCCTGGAGGTCGCTTCTGCTGCTGCTGCCACCCACGGTCCTGCCATGGAAGCGGCAGAGATGCCGTTAGAAGACCCGGGGACCTCTCGCTCCATCCCTTTTGCAGAAAAAACTGGCCCAAAGCAGCCAATTTTCACCTTCCTGATGAGAGGGCCATGTTAAATCAGGTACCCAGTGGTTCCCAGCGTGAGACAGAGCATCACCTACGCTCCCTTGCAACAAGCAATACTGCTGGGGAGAAGTTTAGGATGCCAGGACTGGGGAGGGAAGCCAGAGGCAGCCAGATTAGCGAGTCTCCACAGGCTGAAGTTTCGCTCCAGCCTCACAACTTTGGGTCGAGGCCACGTTGGCTCTGTGTGTGTTCTGCACAGGACCACCTTCCTTCTGAGCTGGCTCTGGGGCTTTGCCTGCCAGCGGGACAATGCCAGCTCGAGAACTGGAGCTGCCAACCTGCGATCAGAAGCAAAGAAAGGCAGCCAGGTCTGGGCAAGCCACCAGGACTGGGGAGGAAAAACCCCCAAACAGGTGGAGGATTCCATATGGCACCACACAGAGTCTGGCCAGGACCCAGACTCCTACGGACCAGGCACGAAAGCCTGTGG